TATTTTAATATTAATATATTAATGTAGCATTTTAATATGCTACACATCTGTGCTACTTTATTACCCTTTCTTGTAATCTTGGCCTAATTTTTTGTGAAGACTCAAATGTTTTTGTGCTGAATTCAGTTTATTGCAATGATGCTGGAAAGTTCAGATGGAAATCCTACAAAGAGAAATATGATCTCCAATATGTTTTGTCTTTAGACAGTTGTAGACTACATTACAATTTGGTCTCTAAATAGAACTTTTTCTTTAAGAACAAATATTAAACTTTACTCTTTAGGGCTCTAGAAATCAGGATTCTGATTCTTACCAGTTATAGCAGAGTCTCTGAATACTGACCCTATATGGGAGAGAGGCCTTTTGCTCTTGGTGGTTGCAGTGCTGTTTCAACACTTCTAATAACTAAGATCACAGAACCGAAGAATTGTTAGGGTTGGAAGGGACCTCTGGGCATCATCTAGTCCCACCCAAATAAAACTAAAAATGAAACTAAATTATTAATCACTGTTAATCTTACAGTGATTTTGAATACTGAAATTTAGTTTCTCTAAAACAGCTTGAACAAGTTACAGATTTTGCTTAAAAGCTAATTTGTGGATTTTTTTTTCTCAAGATGTTCTTGCAGCAGTCAACTTCTGGACTCAACTTTGGTTCTGTGCAGCTTGCTTCTGGAAATTCTTCAAATGTTCAGCAGCTTACACCAGTAAACATGCAAGGTCAAGTTGTTCAGACTAATCAGACTCAAAGTGGGATGAACACGGGCCATTTAAGTACTTCACACATGATACAGCAACAGCCTTTGCAGAGTACTGCAACACAGGTAAAATTCTCATTCTTGATTTTGCTGGATACAATATCTGCTGAAAACCAGCTGAAACACAACAATTGCTTCCCTGACGTTCTCCCAATTTTTTTTTTAACAATGTCCTTTGAGTTGTATTAATTTCACGTTCCAAGTTTTCGGTTGAAATGCAGTCATGTTCTTGATAATGCAATTTCAGATCTTGTTTTTATCTAAGACTTAGACGTGTAAATAAATCATAAGTAGCTTTTTTGAAAGACTAGTATCAAGAAAACTTTTAGCTTGCCTTTTTTTGAATGTCTGTGGATTTTCTGTTGATAAAACAAACATATAACTTGAGATAACAAGGTGAGCTTGAAACCCAGTGTCCAGACAGCAAATAACTAGAAAAGCATAGGAACAGGACAAGCATATATTGGTGCTTCTGCAGTTTACTTTTCTACTCTTCAGCAGTTTCAGTCAGATGCCAGAGGTGTATGACATCTGTAATGTAATAGCCATTTTCTTCTGTGAGTTTATTCACTTTCTTTCAATTCCATGTAAACTTTTGAAATCCACAGTATCTCATAGTGAGTTCTACAGCTTTACTTTGTGATACATGATAATGTTTTGTTTTTCAAACTTGCCACCCAGCTCCTATACTGGGAAACACACTGAGCAGCAATTCACTTTTCATCTTCTCAGTCATGAATGATTTCAAAAGTCCTCTGTTACATTTCTCTCCATAGAAAGCCTGTTCTTCAAGTTGAACAATTCTAATAGACTTGACCATTTTGTGTATGGAGGCTCCTTACCCCTCCCATCTCTGTGGTCACCCTCTGTACTTTTACCCAAATTCCATACTTTCTTTTCAAGATTTGTGAAGAGGCAGACTAGTGGTAGACAGTATTACCATCTCAAAAGTAAGCTAGTTCCAAACTTTCAAGTAAGAAATAGATTGATATGATGTGCACTTCTTAGTCTGAGTCTGGCACAGAGATGCTAAAGGAGGGGAAAATAGGATCTTGAACAAACAATATGCAAGTAGCTGAAAAATAAGGAAAAAAATAACCTGCACAGATAGAGAAGTTAATTTAGGAGATTTTCAGATGTCTGGGGGCCAGTCCCACCTCCAGCTGCTCAGTCACTAGAAATACCTGTGTATTTTAAATTAAGAATTCAGGTGTAATAGAGGGACGCTGGCAGTTGTGAAGTGCGTGCCATGCCAGTGAGAACAGCTGTAGTACCTGGCTATTCTCAAATCACGATCTCATAAAATATTTTTCTTTTCAGCATAATCAACAAAATGTTCTTAGTGGGCACAATCAACAGTCTTCTCTTGCCAGCCAGTCACAGAACACAGTCTCGGCACCTTTGTATAACACTATGGTGATTTCTCAGCCAACAACAGGAAATGTGGTCCAGGTTCCTTCTAGCTTACCACAGAACAACAACCAGAATGCTGCTGCAGTAACGAGTTTTACCCAGGATAGACAAATCAGGTAAATCTCCAAGAGCAGTATTCAGATGACTTGCTATAATGAAGCATTAAAAAAATCATATGACTTATTAACTATATATGGGTACAACTTAAACTAAACTATTCCCAAAATAGCATGTTTGCAGGCTTGTCAAAGCCCATGGTGTTAGAGCAGAGTATGAAGCTGACAAAACTGCATTTCCCAAGGGCGTGTGATGCTTGATATGTTTTTTTTCCTAAAGGGACTTCACATGTTTTTGTTTCTTTTTCTATTAACAGATTTTCTCAAGGTCAGCAACTTGTAACAAAGCTTGTCACAGCCCCTGTAGCATGTGGAGCAGTAATGGTACCGAGTACTATGTTTATGGGACAGGTAGTGACAGCTTATCCCACTTTTGCTGCCCAACAGCAGCAGCCACAGACTTTGTCAATAACGCAACAGCAGCAGCAGCAGCAGCAAAGCCAGCAAGACCATCAGCAGCAGGTCACCACAGTTCAGCAACCAGCTCAGCCACAGCTGACCCAGCACACCCAGCAGTTCCTACAGGTAATGCAGCATTCTCTATAAAGTTTTCCAAGTTCTGACACTTCAGCATTGCTAGGTTATCCTAGGGGTGCTTTATCTGAAAACAGAGTGCTTAAAATAGTAACCTATGAACAAGCGTGATGCATGAGGTAAGTTTACTCAGTAGCCGTTCTCTAGAATCTTAATACTTGAAGGAGAGGTAGTCTTTCCTTCAATTGAACTGCTTTGCCGTATTTTGTATCTTTGAATTGATGTTCTTACTTGAGCATGGGATGAAGAAACAGATGTTTCCCTTTAAAACTGCTTGCATTTTCTTTGCATTCACATATTAATGCAAGAAGGTATGAGAGATGATCTCAGAATTGGTCAGTCTGGAAAGCAGCATGCAGCCTAAAGCAAGATGTGTCCCCGTAACATGAGGCATGAACATCTGTCATAAGACAGGAGCAGCAAGTAAGCAGAGAGTAGAGAAGAACCTTGGTTTAGTGGAGAAAGAAGAGAGATTGGATCAAAAGAGAAGGAAGGCAAAACCCAAGGAATTTAGAGATAGGAAATCTTGAAAAGAACCAGAAGACAAAAAGAATTGGTGGGAAATCCATTGCCATTTGTTGACTGCAGTTAATTGCTGACACACAGCTCATGCAGCAAGTGATGTTGGTGCGGGAGATGTAGTGGTAGCTAGAACCCTACAGAGGAAGTGCCTCCAAGAGGACATGGGTTAAAAGATCTTAATTTGGCCTCTTAAGTTGCTTTCTCCAAAGAAAGATAAAAGTCCATGTAAGTATCACAGTGTACTTTGTACACATTCTTAATATTCTTAAACTACTCTGGGAATGTCAACTTAATTTTTTATGATTATTATTCTGTAAGAGTATACATAATAAATCCTTATTTTGCAAATACTTCTTACTGTGTGTGGTCTCCCATTTGCACTAAATTTGGGATTGTGTGCATAGGTGGGATATATACAAATGCAGTAAGTAATTGGAGGTTTAATCTACATTTCTATGCACGAGGAATGGTTACAGTTCAGTTTAGGGCTGAGGAAAATTTTCTTTCACTATGTCATTGACAGAAGATACTTGCTGAAAAAATCTTTCATGGCAACATAGAGATTTCAGTCATGCATCAGGCAAAGGCTTTTCAGCTGCAAGTTGACTCAAGATATGTGAGGGATACCTAGTGATTTGAATCTCAGCACTCATTTACGTAGTGGGAGGACTCTTGAACTGAATCAAATCAGAGTGCAGATTTGAATGTGTTCTTTGACAAGTCAGATAAATACTGTAACAACAGTGGTGTTAAGCAGGTGGACAGTGTCTGTATCTGTTTCTCTATTTAAAAGTTTGAACAATTTTGGCTTAATTCGGTTGAAACAGAGGATCTCCAAAAGTTTGTTTGTGTCCTAGAATTTCTTTCAAAGCAAAAGTTACTAGTTTGTATTCAAAATACTGAAGCGCTAGAATTTGGAGCGAAGCAGATGCTCTTAAAGAAGGGAGAAAAGTGCTTTTCCTGCCTCTGCTCACTGGGCCTTCTTACAGTCTGATCTGTAGATGCAGCAGTTGTAGTTTAATTTCTGCTGCAGAACATGTCTCAGGATTGAGATATCCAGTGGCATTTGTACCTCTCCTTAGTTGCTTTTCTTCTTTGGTTCTAGGAAGGTTAATATTAAAACTAAGTAATATTTCCAGTAGTAATAAATCTCCTGCAAAGGGGATGTTTGAGTCTGCAAATGCGGCAGGTTCTTTGAATGTCCATTTTGGCTGGGGGGGATAAATGTGATCTGTGCCAAGTCATGCACTTTTTTTCCCATGTGATTGCAATGACAGCCACCTGCATTTGTTCAAATGAATTCCTTAAGCCCTGTTATGCTCTTGTGGTTTGAAATGGAGACAAATTGCCATGTGTTCCTACCCGTTGTCATGGGAAATTAGAAAGACCAGTTACAGCTGCTTTGATAATTGGTCAGATGCTGTAATTAACTTACTGTATGAACTAATCTTTGCATTGTTTGCTCAGCATAAATGACGAAATCAGAAGTTTAGTTTGATTGAGCTCTTACGAAAAGTTAGAAAGCAGCCAGGCCTGCAGTTTCTCCATGCAGCAGGAAAAATAATCTTCTTTTATTTCCATGTTCTAGACATCCAGGTTACTTCATGGAAATCAGTCAGCTCAGCTTATCCTCTCTGCTGCTTTCCCACTACAACAAAGCACTTTTACTCAGTCCCACCACCAGCAGCATCAGCCTCAGCAGCAGCAGCAGCCACTTTCTCGACACAGAACTGACAAGATGACTGATCCTTCCAAAGTACAGCCACAATAGCGGGGGGCTCTGCCGCTTCTTGAGGCGAACTACCAGGGAGGGGGCTGCTCCGCCAGCAGTTGCACTGAGGCTGCAGAGGTAGCAGTACGAAGGCTTTCTAACACCACAGTGTTGAGATCAGCTTCTAACTTCTGGAGTCTGTTAAGAAAAGCCACAAGATGATGATGGGGACATGGCCAACTTTGATAGTTGCCCCGTGTTTCTTGTTCTAAAGGATTTGCTGCCATGTGTTGATTTGTCTGGGTGAAATCTCAAAATGTGACTGAAATGAGAGGGATGCTGAAAATATTGGTATTTTTATCAGTCCTGTACATTTTTAAAGTATTAATATGGACTTGGGGCAATTGTTTGAATTAGCAGAAGAAAAAAAGCCAGGAATATAGTCCAAAAACCATCTAATTTTTTTCAGATGATTATAGGACAGTAAATATTTTGAAAATGTTGTGTGAAATCCAGTTCTCTGTTGTACAGATGCTGTAAAATATTGTGTATATGTCTGCATAAAAGGAGAAAGAGCAAAATATTTTATATGATGCATGAAAATGTAATCTGTTATTTGTAGGTTTGAATATGTTTCCCTAAATTCTCATGCCATACTCAGACTAATGTTTTCCTCTGTTCTACCCTTTTGTTTACAACATGATGCATCATTATTTTCACCCTTAATGTGGGCACAAGTCTCTTGTTTGTGCTTTGTCTGTGATGTCAGGGTTTGTTCGGTGAGGTTTAGTGTGTTGGTTAGTTGTTCTTGAGGTTAAATTATTGATGAAGCTGTTTGAACTGGTGATCATGCATCAGGGTTCAGGACATTCAGATTCATGAATATCATCCATCATTTCATAATTGATTCATCATTTTATTTGAAAAACAAAAATAGGAATTTGCACTGCTTTCTTGTGGATGGTTTGGAATTTTATTCCCCAAAGCTATCTTTTGATATAGTTCATAGTTGGAAATATTTATGTAAAAGGTTTAAAAAAAAAAAAAAGACAATAATTTTCAAGAATGTTTCAGTTATAGGAGTAATTTGCACAAAAATATATTTACATTTAATAACCTTTTGGGCACTTTTTAACCACTTTCTCTGTGGTGAGAATTGTAACTTGTTAAAATATGTTGGAATCTTTTTATTCTCCTTCAAAAATTAGAATTGATTCAGGGTCATTTTAACAACAACAACAAAACCCATAGTGCCTTGATTTTAATTCAGGTGATAATGCTAAACATTTGAATTACAATGTCTTGAATCTGTAACCATTTTCAATTTTGAAGTCTTAGTACATTGTCAACCAAACTTGTGTATCTACTTCATAGATATTTCTGTATTGTGTTGATTTCAGTAGTGGTCTGAGTTGAGACCATGAACATTTTGGACTGGTACTCCCCCTCAAACACTAGCCAGAAACAGAGGAGTCTCTCAAATCTCAGACGTGGAAGGTAATACTCTTAGAAGATTAAAAGATCTAAAGTACAGAACTCCTTTTGCAGGAGGAGGAATATTAAGCTGATCTTTTTGTTGTTGTTGTTGTTTTGGGGTGTTCTATTTTTAATCATCTTCATAGCATTTAAAGTGTGCTTTGGGGGAGATCATGATTGCATTCAACACTACCAGGCTATTGATTTAAGAGATATCACTGAACTAAGACTTCAGAAGGGAACTTCACTCTATAAAGAAAATAAAAAGTTCCAACAGCTATGATGTGCTATTTTAAGTAAATGTTCAGTAGGTTTTTATGGCACTAGTTTGTGGAAACCAGAACTTCAGAGGAAAACGAAGAAATGCTGATAGATCTGATAATTAAAACCGAAAATGGTAAAAGCAGTTAAAATTAGTGCTAGGGAGAGAAAGCTGGATTAAGCTTGAATACTGAGGAGGAGTTGGAATGAATGTAACCAAATGGTGACGGACTGTTTTGTATTACGAAACAGTTTGATTGTATTGCTGGGTGAACCAAACCTGCAGGAAGGTGTTGCCAGTTTAGCCGAGCATGTTGGTTGCATTTTGAGGCTAGCCTTTGCCTCTGCATGTGTTCTATCATTAGATCTTTGTTATTCCCCAGTTATGAGGCAAGCATTTGGCACCAAAAAGCACAGCAGTGAACAAGAAAGGAGAGTGAGAGAGAAACGGTACCAAAGAGAATCAGATTGCTTTCTGCTCCAAGAAACCTCTTGCAACCTGGAGCAAGGAACAGATGCCAATACCAAACATAGCAAGGAACACTCCCCTTCTATAAAGGGATTTCTGCCATTCTCTGGGGTGGAATACTTTTCAGAAACTTGTTTGTGTAAAGTTCTGTGTGAGGAAATCCTGCCTTGCTCTTCTATCCCTACTCTGCCATTCCACCTGTTCCTAAATGAAGCTGCGTTTGACTAGAGAGGTCTGTGCTATCAGTACTTTAGCTTAGTGGAAAATAGGTTAGATAGATAAAAAAAATAACCAATTATAATATAGCACTAAAAAAGAAAACTGGAAGAGCTTTAATAGTGCTGTTAAACTATTGAATAGGGGAAAAGTAGGTTTATTAAGCTATTATACTGAGAATTACAGAAAATAGAGATCCCAGCCAGGAGGTTAATGGTGCAGCTTTTTATATAAAGCTTCATTTAAACTTCCCATTTCCCCCTTCTCAGCTACTCTGGTGTGCTGCTATAGGTCTGTCAGTGAAAAGGCTAAACGAGGTGAGGGAGGACTTAGATGATGAAGACAGCATGGCTGCTGAAAGAGAACGATAGAAATGTATGCTTTGATCAAGAAGCTTTTTGTAACCTCAGAGAGGGGTCATTCAATTACAGAACTACCAGCTAGTAGGGAGAGTCTAGAAGATGGGGAAATTCATAGAAACTGGAAAAATATAGCACATGTTTGAAAAGTTCCTGCCACAAATCAGGCAAACTTCTAACAAAAGCGAGTATGTAGGACTCGGTCCTGATTCTGTGCAAGTATGCAGATGCTTTGTTTCACAGGTAGTGACTACAAAGCATGGATCTAAAGGCTCTGCAGCTTCTCCTGTTGCTGAATCAATTGCCGACCTGTCCTTGATTTTTAGTGGGAAGAGGACCAGACTATCACCTCTTTCTTAATCAGCCTTTTGCTTCTGCCTGACTCATTTACCACTGTCATAGACTTATTTGCAACATCCTAATAAATAGCGTGATAACGGATGCTGTGATGCTGCAGGTTCTGGAGCATAACCTTTAGGGGTTGACTCTGACAGAAGGGAAGGAGTCTGTTAAGGAGAGGATTGGATTTATGAAGAAATGGGCTGGTGATATGTAATGGAGTGAAAAGGCAGCATAGTTGCATCGAGTTTAGGAGACACGTTGTTTGCCTGCAATGGGTGAGGATTTGAAGAAAAGCTTCTATGATAACTTCAGAGAAAAAGAATATAGCTATTTTTATATTATATTTAATATATATTATATTTGTATATAAATATGAAAGGATTCTAGTAGGAGCTCTCCATATGCCTTCCATTTCATCTAGAAGGTTTACCTTCTGCACTACAGTTCCAGTGTGTCACCACCACCTTCTGTGGGCATCTCGCCTACTGCCAAACACCAAAATGAGTAACCCAGTATCCTTACAAGAGATGATAGGTTTCATTTCAGCTTTATGTAAAAATGAATAAAAGAAAGCTATATCAGGCAGTTTTTCACAGAAAAAAGAAATTATCTTAAGACTCAAATAGCACTTTCTCTTTTTTTTAATTTTATTTTTTTGTGAGTAATAACAAGCACTTTACTGAAGAGACTATTGGAAAACAGTTTATTTAGTCAGTGAAACTGTTCGGGGGGGGTATGGAGGAATAACATGCATAAAACTGTCAAGAGAGACATTTCTGGAAAATGTTTCTTTAACATGGTGATCCTTTGAGGCTCCAAGTGCAAGGTTAAAAAGGCTTCTAAAACCAGTTGCCTTTGTGTTTTACACGGCCAGGGGAAGGGATTCTGGTGACAGCTTCCCTGGGAGGAGTTTGTAAATTGCACAGTTGCCTATGAGAGAGAATCATCTGGAGGCTCATTTGCCTGCTTAGTAGTTGTAAGTGTCCCTTAGGCTTCTAATTTGTGTGGAAATGGTCTGAAGGTTTAAAGATGTGGCCTTTTTCAGATGTTGAAGTCGATTCAAGAACCATTTCTATTTTCAGAGATTTAACCCAGGTGTTGTCATGAGTGTTTTAAATGTCGTGGCATCGGGAGATGTCGAATATGTCAGATTCGTAAGTTTCTCTATTTGAAATAATGATTAAAAGTAGATGCACAGTCAGGGAGCTGGAAAATGGTTATTTTCATTAAAAGGGAAAAGAGACTAGTTTTAATAATTAACCTTTTATTTTTTTACTTGTCCCTGGTGGAAACAGTTGAGAATGAAATGAATTTGGATGAAGGGAAGACATATTTAAACAACTCGTAGTAGATGAGACAACTGTGAGAGAACATTTGGAATCGTCTTGGTTGTCCATGAGACTGGATAGTGGCTTTTTCATAATCGTGATTTTTTTAACACTACATTCCTTGTTTTGCTTTTGGTTTTGTTTTTTAAACAGGTGATTTTAAGCTCTGCTCTGCTTCATGCTATGTCATCTGCATGAGTTTTGCCAGCATGATATGCTATACTCAATTGTACCTAAATAAAAGGGGGGGGTAGGGGAGAACACAAAACACTGTGTCTGAACAAAATACTGTATGGCCTAAATAGAGACCCCAGCTAAGACTGAGAGATGCTGCATTAACAGACAATCAAGGGGTGATTATTTATGAAACACTTCTGAGAATGGTCTTAAAGCTGTTACTGCTTCGAAAGCAGTTGGTGAGTTGTCTTTTTTTTTAACAAGCAAGGTAGAAATTATTTATTTTCCGATACATCTGGTTGAATTTTGAGTTTTGAACAGTGTTGGTTTCACAGTGTCTTGGGTTTCAGTTCCGTTCTGTATTTTTTTATCTGGCATTAGATTTGTATACGTGAAAGAAAACAAACAGAAAAACCCCAGTGCCGCTCATGTTGATGTCAGGAAATGTAGATACAGTTCCCTGGTGTTCATGTGACCATTACTAACTGTCAATTTTTTAACAATAAATGTAACTCATTTAAAATTTTGCTTTTTGTAGCTCCTGACGTTCCAGAAGTGGTTTTTCTGAGTTTGCTCCCTGACAGTTTTATCCACGTTCCACAACTTGGAACAAAGGTGCTTTGCCCCCACCCACAGAACCAGCTTCTGAGAAGATGCTTGGTGTGGATTTTACCTTCTCTTCCCTTTTAGCTGTCTTCTCTCTGTCTCTCTTCATAAACTGATGCCCCACTCCAAAGGCCAGAGACCTTTGATTTGTGTATTTACATTTCTGCCTTGGAACTTATTCACACAGCACCTGCGTGAACATGCACGAGCTCAGGCTGCTTTGAATCTTCACACGTAGGGTTCCTGCTCTCTGCAAAGGACGGAGCGGTGCTGCAGGGCTTTGGCATGTGCATGAGGGGTTTATCCAGCACGGCCTTTCCCTCACTGCCTGGCACGGGCACAACATCCTCCTTTAGTTCTTTCGGCTCCCCTCCCTGGGCATTTCTTCTGCTGGGGAATTGTGAAAGAACAGTAATTCTGACGGCGTAGCAATGATCTGAACCACCGGCTGTGCCGCTCGGAAAGGAAGCAGAGACTCACATTTAGCTGAGAGCACAACTTCAGAGCATCAGCTCTCCCTTGGAGGAGCTGGCTGAAAACGTGTAACTGCTCAGGGTACACTAACCCTGCTGCCCCAGTCCTTTTGCACTGATTAAGTGTAAACATTAATAATTTGACATTAAATGTTCAAGGAAAGGTGGGAGGGAGGGAGGGAAATCCTGTACCTGAAGATGATAAAACCACTCAGCCATTTTGATGGCCTGCAGTTCATTCTTCCTGTGGTATCGCACTAGATGCCCATGTGAAGATACTGATCTCTTGCCTTTGGGAATTAAATTATACTTGTGCAAGTTGTATATTACT